TTCTTCTTCAGATTTATTGTTTGTGTATAGGAAGGCTACTGACTTGCGTGTTGATTTTGTATCCTGCCACCTTACTGAACTGATTGATGAGTTGAATTAGTTTTTCTGTGGAGTTTTTGGGGTTCTCTATGTATATTATCATATCATCTGCAAATAGTGATAGTTTGACTTCTTCTTTTCCTATTTGGATTCCTTGTATGTCTTTCTCTTGTCTTATTGCTCTGGCTAGGACTTCCAGTATTATATTGAAAAGCAGTGGTGAGAGTGGACATCCTTGTCTTGTTCCAGATCTTAATGGAAGTTAGTTTTTTTTTTTTTTAAGATTTATTTATTCATGGGCCTCCCCTGGTGGCACAGCAGTTGAGCGCCAGGCTGGGAGGCTACCCGTAGCCTCTGCAGCGGCGCTGTTCGATCCCCAGCTGCCAGCCAGGGTCCCACATGGCGTGCAGACCTCTCCTGCCACACCCGCTGCTCCCCCAGCAGTGTATTTTGTCAGCAGTCTGCCTATTCTGTTCTCCGCTCTGGCTCTGGTGAATTCTCTCACCCTCCCGCGCTTCTGACTGTACCCAGTGCTTGTACAAATAAATAAATAAATCTTTAAAAAATAAATATTGATTTATTCATGCATACAAGAACTGGGGTACAGGCCAGATGTGTGGGAGGGTGAGAGGATTAACCAGAGACAGAGCAGGGAACAGAATAGGCAGACTGACTGAAATACACTGCTGAGTGGAGCAGCGGGTAAGACAGGAGAAGTCTGCCACGCCATGTGGGTATCTCCGTGGCTGGCCGGGATCAAACTTGCCTTGCAGAGGCTGCAGACAGCTTTGCAGCACTGCGCTCAACTGCCTGTGCCACCAGAGAGGCCCTAGTTGGCTTTTTTTTTTTTAACTTAATCAATAAATGCTTAGCCAATAATCTGTTCTAACATGTACTTAAGGCTATATTTTGTCCTTTATAAATTGTTTTAGCTATGTTGCATAACCTTTGATAGATAGAATTTTATAATCATTCAGGTTAGGATAATTTCTATTTTTCATTGTCCTGTGTGTGTGTGTGTGTGTGTGTGTGTGTGTGTGTCCGACTGTTTCTTATTTACTTAAAAATGTATCGCTGTAGTGGCAGGGTATAAAATGAACACACATAAATCAGGTGCCTTCCTATACAAATTGAGATAGAAGAGGAAGAAAGGAAGTGATCCCACTTACAATTACATAAAAGAAAAACACCTAAGAGTAAACCTAACAAGGGAGGTAAAAGATCTATGCAAAGAAAACTATAAGACAAATTGTTGAAAGAAATAGAAAACACAAAGAAATAGAAAAATATTCCCTGGTCATGGGTTGGAAGAATCAACAATGTCAAAAAGATCATACTGCCCAAAGGAATATATAGATTCAATAACCCCCCCCAAAACAAAACAAAACAAAACTATCAATAGTGTATTTCAAAGAATGGAAGCAAATACTACTGAAATTCATATGGCATCATGAAAGACCCTGAATAACATAAGCAATCTTCACAAAGAAGAAAGAGAAGGAGAGATCATACTTCCGGACCTCAAGATATATTATAAAATCACAAATACTAAATCAGTGTGGTGCTGGAACAAAAACAGACACAAAAACCAATAAAAAAAGAATTGAGAGCACATGAATAAACCTATACATATTTGGACTGTTGCTCTGTAACAAAGAAGCCAAAGACATACACTGGAATAAGGATAATTTCTCCAATAATTGATGCTGGGAAAACTGGACAGTTGCATGCAAAAGAATGAAACTAGACTATGATCTCACACCATAACCAAAATTCACTCAAAATGGATCAAAGACTTGGATGTAAAACCTGAAACGATAAAATATATAGATGAAAACACTGACAAAACATTTCATGATACAAACTTTAGTGATGCCTTTAGGGATTCATCTCCAACAGCAAGGAAAAGAAAAGAGAACATAAACAGCGAGGAGTACTTCAAGCTAAAAAGCTTCTGTACAACAAAAGATATCATGACTAAAATGAAAAAGATACCCTTTGGAATGAGAAAAAAATTTGTGCACCATGCGTCTGACAAAGGACTGATATCAAAGATATACAAATAACTCAAAAACTCTACAGAAACCAAAACAAATAACCTAATCATAAAATGGGCACAAGAACTAAACAGACATCTCTCTCAAGAAGACATTTAAATGGCAAGTAGGCATATAAAAACAATGTTTACAATTACTTATTACTAGAGAAATGCAAATCAAGACCACAATGAGATACCATTTCACAACTGTGAGAATGACCCATATTGAAAAGAACAAGAACAAGTTCTGGTGAGGATGAGAGGAAAAGGGAACCCTCTTATATTTCTTGTGGGAATGCAAACTGGTCCATTCCTTATGGAAAGCAGTATGGAGGTGTCTCAAGACATTAAACTTGTATCTGCTATTTGACCCAGTAATTTTATTCCTAGGCATCTGTCCAAAACATTTAAAAAAAAAACCATTATTTCAAAAGGAAACTGGCACACCCATGCTTATTGCAGTGCTATTTGCTAGAGCTAAACTATGGAAACAAACTAAGTGCCCCAGAATAGATGAATGGATCAAGAAGATGTGGTATGTATACACAATGGAATACTACTCAGCAATGACAAAAGATATACTCAGGCCATTTTTGGCAACAGGGATGGAGCTGGAAGAGATAATGCTAAATGAATAAGTCAGAAGGAGAAAGATAAATACCAGATGGTGTCATTGATATGTGGAATATAAAGTAACTAAATTAATAATCAGATAAAGACAAACTGAAAAACTAATCCTAGATACCTGACTACAGACCTGAAGCACCAGGGGGCAGGGGAAGGGGACTTGGTGGAGAGGTAAGAACAAAGGGATGGTAGCCCAGTGGTCTATAGTATCGGGTATGGGTGAGTTGGTGGTGGGTGCATTATGGTGGTAATAACTGATGGAGGTACTCTAATATTACCTCAATTAAAAATAAATAATTTAAAAAAAGAAAAAATGTATAGCTTAATTTCAAGATAGGGGAATTTCTAGGATTTTGTTACTGATATCTGATTTCACTCCATGTGGTCAAAGAGTATGCTCTCTAGCTATGATTTTTAAAAATTTATTGGGATTTACTGCACCTTAAAATGCTTGAATATACATTCCGCTGCTGTGTTTAGCATACTCAACTATTGCTAGTTTATCAATAACGCTGTTCAAATTTTCTGTATACTCTTATTTGTCTCTTATCTCTTTATTTTATTTATTGATATGTAAAGATTAATGGGATATGTTAAAACTTCAATTATGATTGTGGATTTGTCTATATTGTCTCCTTAATTATGTTAAGTTTTGACATGTATTTTCAAATTAAATACATTTGAATTTAGAATTGCCACACAATTCTGGTGAGTTGAAATTTCCTCTTTTTATATAATCTGCTTTTTTTCTTACAATATTCCTAGTTTTCTTGGTATGTATTTTCCTATTCTACTTTTAACTATTGTAAAACAGCATGAGAACTTCTGTAAGGAGTATTATTCTGTTGTATTTAATCTAATTTGACAGTCTACAGTTATACCACCTTGTTATATTTAATGTATCTTACAGTCTACAGTTATACCACCCAGAATGTGCCCAACTTCATGACTTCAGAATCTTGTCTGACAATCCTTGTCTTTTGATTGAAGTTCTTAGTTCATTTATATTTAATGTGATTATAGATCTATTTGTTGTTAAATATACCACCTTAAATAGGGGTTATTTACCTAAATTATTTATATTCCTTTTTCTTTCCTTTCTTGTCTTTTAATTATTTTACTTCCTTTTTCTATTAACTTATAAAATTTATATGTTACTCTTCTCTAAGTGTTAATTGTAGAGATCACAACCTGCATCATCAACTACATAAAGTAGTTTATTTTCTGGGACAATTTGTGGATCTTAGAACACTTTAATCCTGTTTACACACCTCTTAGATTATGTTTTATTATCAGTATAGTTATTCTCACTATGTATTCTAAAATTCACAACCTATTGCTATTATGTAGTTTTTCCATCTAGAGATCTCTATCTTGGGTCACTTTCTGTCTGCCTGGAAGACATCTTTTCCTCTAGGGTAGATCTACTGGTGACATATCCTTATTTTATCTGAAAGGATTTTAAAAATTTTGTTCATCCTTATTTTTGAAGAATATTTTGCTTGGAGCAGAAATACAAATTGCTGGCTCACCTTTCTTGGCCTTTCAACTTTTTTAGGTTTTTGACTCCCCAAATTTCTAGTCATAGATCCTGATGCCTTCAAAGAGATGTATGTGTGCATGTATATATACATGCATTAATTTAACACATGTGGGCTTATGTGTGTAAGTATTTGTGTTTGTGTGCTTGTTTCTCCAGCTTTCCTAAATATTCTGAGAGGGGTATGGGGCTGAGAAGCCTAGGCTGCCTTTGCTGGAAGCAGAAGTGCTGGAGGTGTTCAGTACAGTGCAGAACACATTGTCAAAAACTTAATGAATGTTTGTTTTACTCTCCAGGTCTGCTTTATCTTACAGACTGTGAACTCCTTAAAGGCAGTGGACATGTCTGAGTCTGTCTTTATCCTTACTCTTTGTGTTCAGCACAGGATCTGGCTATGGCAAAGTCCTAGTCAACTGACTGTGCTGTGAGTTTTTCTATGGTTTGGCTTTCACCTTTGAAGTCACTGTGGTCTTCAGCCAGGTTTTCTCATGGTCAGCACTGTGGACTTTTTGGGCCAGCTGATTCATTTTCATGGGGATGCCCTGTGCTTTGTAGGATATTTTGTAACTTTCCTGGACTCCATCCACTGGATACCAATAGCTTCCCATCCTGAATTGTGACTACTAAAAATGTCTCTAGACATTTTAGAGCAATCTAGGGGCAAACTGGGGCATGTGATGCTTAATGAGGGCTGTTGACCAGAACTCCGTGTTTTGCTTTTATGTTTCCTAATGTTGACTTTCCTCTAAACCATAGGGTTTGAAACTGCCAAGTCTTTCGCCCTCCATGGTGCACACGTGATCCTGGCCTGCAGGAACATTTCAAGGGCCAATGAAGCTGTGTCACGCATTTTAGAAGAATGGGTAAGGACACACTCAGTTGTTGTTTTTCATTGTGAAATGTAAAAAACACATGTAGAGTTTGGTACAGTGGATTAAGTTTATTGTGCTTGGGAAAACGTTTTCTTTATTTTTAAAGTCATATTCACTTTGTTTACTTTATGAATGAAAGGGTGAACAAACTGTTATTATCCACACAATTTGTTTATAGTTCATTGTCAGTGTGATCTGCTTTTTTAGCCAAAGGTTTAAAAGCTTTTACTCATTTAGCTCTTTTATTAAGAAAAATAGAATGTGTTTAACACCATAAATCAATCAAGAAGTTGTTATGCTCATGGTTTTTAGGGTTACAGAGGGGCAGGCTGTAACCCTGCTCTGGTTTTTGCTTTTCTCTCTCTTGGTGTAGATGTTGGGTTGATATGTCTATGTATAAACATCTATTGAGGGCCTGCAGTGTTCTTGGGAGCAAGGGTGTAGCATCAAACAACAAAATCCCTGTCCTCATGGGTTTATCTTCTAGCTAAAAGAAACAGACCAAAAAGCAATAATTAAGCTTAACATTTGGCATAAAGTCAGGTTGTTTTAAATATGGTTATTGGACAATAGAGAGAGTTAGAGATGAAGAGACACGATGAACTGTTTTAGATGGGTTAGTCAGCAGCCACGGCCCCAAAGTTGTAACATTTTATCCAAGTTGGACATTTTGTCCAAGACCTGAAGAAGGTAATGAATAAAGCATGCAAAAGTTAGGGAAAATACTTTGAGCAATGGGAGCAGTGTGTGAGAGGTCAGAATATGTCCAGAGGATTCGGGGATCAGGGGGAGGGTGGCGTGACTGGAGCTGAAGAAGGGAGGAGGGTGTGGAGGTGCTTCAAGGGACTCACTCAGAATCAGTGGTGAGAAAGGATTAGAGGATGTGAGCCAGAGAGTGACACTGGCTGATCAATTTCTTTAATATGACTACTGGGCTTCAGCATGTATTGTGGACTGCATTCACTCATTTACTTGTCATTGTGTGGTGTAAGGATGAAACATGCTGCTGTCTTGGGGGATGGGGCTGTGCTGCTCAGAAGAAACAGTCAATGCCTCCATCTGTCAATCTTTCAGCCTGGAATGGAAGACAGATCCAAACAAAGGAACATGAATATCAGTGTAAACTTGAAATTAGGGCAATGTGGATTACAACATGGTGAATAATACTAGGGCACTGGGTGGGGGGCATCAGAAGTCCCCCAGATAGAAGTTCATGTTTTAAGTTCTCAGGAAAGAGCAGGGCAGTGGTGGGAGAAGTGTCCACGGGGCAGAGGGAACTGGCTGTGCAGTGGCCCTGGGGGGGAAGAGCAGGAGCAGGAGGGAGGAGGAGGAGTAGACAGGGAGAGAGCATGAAGGGGGTCGATAGTTCTTGCCAAGCCTCTCTCCATTTTGTGAACACCAGGGAAGATTTCTTGCCTTTTGAAGAAGTAGACTATGGTTTGTTTAAGAGACTGTCTAGTGTTCTGGACTGAAAAGTTATGAAAGTCAAGGAAAGGAAGATTTGTTTCTGCTTTTTCAGTATATTTCAAATGCTTTATTTTAAGTTCAGTTTCTTTCATATGAACCCTTGTCTTGAGCTCACTGAAGTCATTTTTTGGGGTTAAATTAAAAAGATAAACCTGGGCCTTTTTTTTTTTCTGATTATGTTAACATCTTTCTAACTCTAAAATTAAAAACAGTAATAACCTCTTTTTGGTGATATAGAACCAAGGGAGAAAAAAATGGTAATATATGCACAAAGTTTGCATATATATATATTTGTATGTAATGGGAGATACAAAATCAAAAGTGAAATTCCCTTCTTTGAAAAGAAGATCCTTTTCCTGGAAGGTAAATGCCATTAATCATTTCTTGTGAATTCTTTTATCATTAACTATTTCTTGTGTATTTTTCCAGGAAAAACTTGTAGATACTGTTCCACATATTTAGTTTTTTTTCACTTACTGCTATAGGACATCTTTTCTTATCACTGCATCTAGATCTACCTTTTTTTTTTTTTGAGGTACAACACTTAATTATTCATTGATACTCATATAACCCAAACACAAACTGCTTACTTTATTTAACAATGAAGTAGTAATAACAACACAATAATTTAGTTGTATCAAAGCCATTAACAGAGTAAAATAAAAACAAAGCTAATTAAGAAGCTTGCTTCAGCTCCAATTAATTATTGCCATTAAATTAAAAATGGCAGGAAACAGTATCATTAGTTTAGTGCTTCTCAACCCTGTCTGTTCAGAACAGAAGGAAGGAAGAGAATTTATGCTTACAAAACAGTCACACCCAAGGGCCACCTCAGAACAATCCGTTGAGAATCTTGCAAAAGTGGTGTCCAGGCAAAGATGTTTGAAGCGTCGTCATAATTGAGAACTACAAGTCTAAAATAGTGAGCATGTCCTCTACTATCTCCTGTAGTAGAGTTTAACAAACACCAAATTTTTGAAGTTATGTAAACTTGCTACCCAAATTGAAATTCTCACTTCACATTTTGGATATCTTATTACTTTTAACTGCTATGTAATATTCCATCATATACTTATATACTGTAATTTATTTAACGAGGCTTCCTTTTAGTGAACATTTAGTTTGCTTTTATTTTTCAAGTGATGATCTTTTTTTTTTTTGTCTGAAAATTAAGTCTCACACTTTCATCCAAGATTGGGTCTCAGCTATGCTGCAGGGAGCCTTTTGACATATGCAGTCATGAGTCAGTTAATGACATCCCTGTCAACAACAGCACAGTGGTCCCAATAGATGATGCCATATAGTGTAGGTGTGAAGTTAGCAGTGCCAACTTGGTTTGTGTGGTTATACTCTTTGACATGCACAACCATGAAACTCCCAAATGACCTATTTCTTAGAAAGAAACCCCATCGTTAAGGTACCCATGACTGTACTTGTATGAGTCCAACCACAGGGCAGAATCTTAGCAGTGGACTTGGTGACTCAAGGTCATATGTATTAAAAAATCTGGTAGCTGTTTCCCAGTTGTCATCTAGTTATACCACTGCCAGTGTAGAAGAATACCTGCTGTCAGGATGCGGAGAGGGTCAAGCTTGTAAAATTTTGCTCACTTGAAAGTTATATTTTAACTAGAAATATTAAACACCAGTGACCCTGGTAATACTGTAATAGCCATATTGTACTTGCAATGCTATTATGTTTAAACCAGCCTTGGAAGAGAATTGTGTGAATTATCTTTGTTTTCTTTATACACGATGACAGATTCTCTATCCTACCACAACTATTGTTTGCTGCAGAGAGGCAGAAATTCCTGAAACTTCCCTAATTAACTGTGTGGTCTCTCATTATTTTTTGGAGCCAGTTCCCTTATCTCTGAGGAGGAAGGTTGAATGGGAGGCTCTCAAAGACCTCTTTTCTTGCATTTTTTTTTAAGATTTATTTATTTATATAAGCACTGGGTACAGTCAGAAGCATGGGAGGGTGAGAGAAACCACCAGAGCCAGAGTGGGGAGCAGAAGAGGCAGACTGATGAATTTCACTGCTGAGGGGAGCAGCGGGCATGACAGGAGAGGTCTGCACGCCATGTGGGACCCTCCCTGGTGGCCGGGGATCGAACCGGTGCTGCAGAGGCTGCGGGCAGCTTCGCAGCCCAGCGTTCAACTTCTGCGCCACTGGGGAGGCCCTCTTTTCTTGTATTTTAAGCCTTCCCTGGGTCCCTGTGAGTCAGTCAGTTTCAGGTGACAGTGTGTCATTGTATGTTCCATTCTACTTCACAGTACCTTGAGGTCAGCCAGCAACCAGCACTTCCTGAGAAAATTATCCAGGTCTATTCAGGTTAGGGACATGAAAAAATGGAATGGGAATGCAAACACAGCTTATACTCATGTGTGTTTCAAATGTTTGTACCTTTTACAGGGTACAAACTGCAGAAAGTCAACCCTTCCATTCACCTCTCACCTGTTTTCTCTGAATCCTGTAGTACCATGTCCCTCATTCCCTCAGATTAGGATTATGGAGGCTCAAATATAGCACCCGAGGCCACCACTGCCGTTTCATATCATGGCCCCGTTAGTGCAGCACAGAGCGCATGAGGCCCTGCCCTGCCATCTGCATGAACCCCTGGGCCCCTTATCTGGCACGTCTTTAATTACCACTTCCTTGAATTTCTCAAGGTCATTTTGATTGACTCCAGCTTGAGTGTGTTCCTACTTCATCTGGGCTGGCTCTATCAGGAATGGGGCAGGGAAGGTACTGCAACATATTGGCACCCCATGGGAGAGTCTCAAAATGACCCAAAGTATTTTGTTGCAGCAAAGCATCGTTCAGAAGTCTTTGGGTGGCTTGACTCCTCTCTGCTCACCTGTGCCAAGGCTCCATGGACTTCCTCAGCTACTGCCCTGGACTTGGCCTTCAGGCCTTCCCCAACTTGTTCTTCCCTGCCTGGTCTTCCTCTTCCTGTCTTCACATTCCACAATTGCTGTGTTCCAGAGCGCTCTTGCCTGCCTTCAAGTCAGCAGAATGTTGTTCTCATGCCTGTCCTGAGATAGCAACCACCACCATTTATTGAGTCCCTGCTCTGTGCTCTATCTTGGACAAGGTATTCTCAGTCAGGAGGTACAAAGGCCTGATTTCCTCCATTTTACAGACTAGCCAGTGGGCACTCACAGGGTGAAGGCAGTTGCCCAGGTCACACAGCGATCAGTCAGGCTCCTGGTGAGTTCCATGTGGGGCTGAGTCCTCCACACCCAGAGTCTGTCTGGTCCACACACAAATCAGCTTTACTCCTACCTCTGGCATCAGGCATAGTCTTTACCTTTCACACTTTGCTTTCAACATCACTAGATGCTATATAAGAGATTTTTTTCAGAATTTATTATATTTGTGAGAGATATCCTTGCTGATCCACTTATTGTTCCAAGCACTCCCATTTCAAGTGAAGATAACCTTTATAGGATCCTCAAGCCACTTTGGGGGTGATCTGGCTCTTTAGTAAAATAGATCTTAAATAAAAACACCTTTTCACT